AGCAGAGTTAAGAGCACTTGCTGCTCTTGCAAAGACCTGGGTTTGAGTCCCAGTACCTACATGGCAGCTTACAAGTGTTCACAGACAGTTTCAAGGGATCTGGCACCATTTTTGAGCTCCTTGAGTACCAGGCATACCCATGGTGTACATACGTATGTGTAGACCAAACATCCATACACAGAAAATGAATAAATGGAATAATTAGGTTAAAAAAGATCTTAGGATGACAATACATGAATTTCATAATCCTGATATACTAAATCCTTATAAACTTCAAATTATCTACAAAAATTATAAACATAAAATGGATTTAAGGTCACAATTTTTGTTGTTTTTTACATGTTTTCTCTATGTAACAATCTTGGCTGTCCTGGAACTAGCTTTGTAGACCAGGCTGGCCTCAGAGATCCACCTGCCTCTGTCTTCAGAGTGCTGGAGTTAAAGGCCTGTGCCACCATGCCTGGCCAATTTCACCATTTTTTTGTTAGTCACAGAGCAAGCATTTCTAAAGCGAAGCCTAAGTATTATAAATCAAGGTCAAAACACTGAACAATTACAAGTAAGCTATATAACAAAAAGCAGACAAATACAGATGAATTTCTAAGGTAAGTTATAGTAAAGTATCAATTAGAAGGCATGCTGTATCTGCTAATAAATGTAAATTTCTGAAGCTTTCGAATACTACATGTTCTAAAACATACAGTGAAATAATTTCTACACAGCCCCATAGCAAATATAAGTTTTGTAAATGTTTTGTGATATGTGATGTATCTCCATAAGTGACCCAAACAAGCAACAGAGAATGTGGTCACCCCTGCTAACATGTTCCTATCACATCATCCCTTGGTGATTTCTATCGAAGACTGACAGATGATGATGGGCTGCTGCCCTTCCTTCATCAATGCTCCAGAGATTATTTTTTTCCTTTTTTGTGTTGTCTACTAGTGTGGAAACATGTGAAGAAGGAAAGGTCAGCAGATAGTTCCAAATCATGCTTCTGTCAATATGCTGCCTGAGCTATTTTCTGCCACAGCCAGACACGATACACTTCAGAAGGAGAAACTTCAAAAGAGCCCTCAGGCTACCTCCAGAAAATAGACAACCCTGACAAGGCACAGAGGTCTAAAGAGACTAGGTGTGCTGCTGTTTCCTGTTTCTTGTGTGACCCCAACAGCCAGTGGTGGTATTGCTTTATTTCTAGGCTATGCTAACTCCACCTGCTAACCTGCTACCTCTCTAATCCAACAGTCATATTGAGGCTCACAGGAATCTTAGGAATTGTCCCAACAGGGTAGACATGTACAAAAGCACCTACCTTTAATCTTGCTTCAATAATCTTTGTCAGAGTGAGACAATCTCCATGAAAACCACTGCAGCCAATGACTGTTTTGTCTGTTCTGTAAAAAGCCAATTTCAGGGAAATCAGTTGATAAAGCAGGGCACTGATATTACAAAGCAACATGTTTGTCTCTTGGAGACCAGGTATAGAGACAGTAGTCCTACAAACAAATTGAGTTCAGAAAAGGACTATCTCTATTTCTTTTATTTCTGCAGCATGGGAGTCTACATACCAATATCTCCTTACACCAAATTAATTTTAGATGAGCCAAAAATATACTATTAATAGGCTAAAGAAAATAAGGGTGACTATTTTACAATCTAGGGCTGGGAAAGGTGAAGTATGATGTAGCCCAAGGGTCATATAGAAGTTTCATAAATCTGACTACTTCTACAGAAAAAAATAAAGTTAAAAATACATGAACATATGACTAAAGTCTAATTTTAATCTCCTTATGGAAGAACAGTCAATGAGATAGAAAAATTGGGTAGCTGGGAACTGGGAAGACAAGACAAACTTCATTGCTTTTTATGGAAAGATATGGGCCATGCCTAGGACTGAAACATGGCAAGGCTGCCTTCCTTATTTTCTACTCCACATCACCTTAAACGTCTATGCAAAGAACCCAAGCCTTGATGGGTCCTCTTCTACTTCAAGTTTAACAGAGTTTTGTGATCAGCCCTGCACCTTCCCAACTGCCACCACAAAGGCAAGTGAATGTGTCTTTAGAAATATTTATTCATGGGCAGGGATGGCTCGATGGATGGTTAAGAGCACTGGCCGTTCTTCCAGAGGACCTGGGTGGGTTAAACTCACAGTATCCACATGGCAGCTAACAACCAACTATAACTGCAGGGGAGCCAATGCCCTCTTCTGACCTCTGTGGACACTGCACACACATGGTGTCATACAGACAAAACATGCACACACATAAAATAAATCTTAGAAAGAAAAAAAGAAAGATTGATTTACTTACAATTTATAACATTTGGGGCTATCTCGGGTATGAATTGAAAACCCTTCACTCAACCGAGTGTCTGAAGCAACAATGGAAAAATCTTCTCCAGCAATTGCCAGTACAGTACTGATAAATTAAAAAAAAAAAAAAAAAAAAGACAAAAAAAAATTTAATTCTTCAGGGTGGCAACTCTATCTCGTCAAATACGAGTGTGCTCCACAGGACCTGTCTGGGTAAATCTATTAGATATAAGAGTAGAATTCAAGTGAAGGACAAAAGACAGGAGGAAAGTATCCCTGGCTGTATGTCATCTTGGAACATTACTAACCTAGATTCTAATGGCACCCTCCCCATTATAAGCCTGAGGACAAGTTAACTTCTGAAGGCTTCAATTTTCTCAAAAATATGACACAGAATATAAAATGGGACACAAATCCTGTTCTAGTGCCTCCTTGGGAAGAGGTGATAGGGAAGACACTGAGTCACACCTTCATAAATAAAGAACCAGAGGCTGCTTGGCAGGCTAGCTGCAATAAATGCTAAAAGGAACAAAAGAGAGAGACAGAGACAGAGAGAGTGTAATTTACTAGAGAGTTGAAAGTACCATGAGGAAAGTAATGAGTTAAGAGGAACTACAGGAAGTTAAAAAGTGAATGAGTACTGCATTCAGAACACCCTGAAATTATTAACACGCCTTACAACGTAAGTACTCAGTGCTCACATGCAGAGTTAAGAAGCACACTGGAGGGCTGGAGAGATGGCTCAGTGGTTAAGAGCACTGGCTGTTCTTCCAGAGGTCCTGAGTTCAATTCCCAGCAACCACATGGTGGCTCACAACCATCTGTAATGGGATCTGATGCCCTCTTCTGGCCTGCAGGGATACATACCAGCCCTTTGACAGGGCTGTTTAAATGCCAAGAGCCAAGGACTAAGACTATGAATATTCACTTAACTGCTTGCAGCTTACAAAAATGTAACCACCTTGAGTCTCCCTCAACCTATACAAGAAACTGAAAGGAACCCACACAGCACACATTCACATTTGTTCTTCAAATGGCACAATCAAGGTTAAAACCACTATTTCACTCCTTATATAGTCAATGTTCAACATTCATAAAGACATAGTTAATGTTTTTTTCTTTTCCTTTTTTTTTTTTTTTTTTTTTTTTTTTTTTTAAGGCAAGGTTTCTCCTTGTAGCCCTGACTGTCCTGGAACTCGCTCTGTAGACCAGGCTGGCCTTTGCCTCTCGAGCGCTGGGATTAAAGGCATGCCCCACCACCTCCTGGCTGTTTTGCTTTTCTTAACAAACTACGTTGTTTTTTTTTTTTATAATGGTTGTTTCAACGTATAAAATTTGATGAAGAATATCCCTGTATTGTCAAAGATCCTAAATTCGAAGGAAAAAATCCCTTCGAATAAAGCAGAATTAAAATGCACAAGCAATTTGAGATAATACACACAAACAGGCCGACCGCCTAAGGCCGGGGACACAGCTCAGTAGGACTTGCCCAGCAGGGCACGTCTCAGAGAACAAAACAACTGCTATATGTCACCCCTGAACTTAAACCCAACAAGCATTAAAAGAAAAAAAAATCAGTGATCTACAAAATTAAGTCTAATTCATCAACGTTATTTTCTATTTGAAATAATAAATGATCAGACGGCTCGGCCACAGAAACAGCTACGCGTCTACCAACCAGGGCAAACCAATCCTAACAAGAATACCGCCCCTCTCCGGCTGGCTTTGGAAACCTGTTCAAGCCCCACGAAACAACAGCCCGCAGAGCGGAGGGTTCAGGTTGCAGCCGCCCTGCGGGAGCAGGCGGCACCAAGGGCGTCGGTGCACCGGTCCGGGTACGGGCCTCGGAGCGCCCTAACAGGCTGCATCTCCGCCATTCCCACACCCGCCCGCCGCGACCCCGGGCTCGACCAAGGTGAGCGCAGCAGACCCGAGCGTTTACCCTCCGTTGAAGGCATACGGTGAGAACCGCAGCTGTACAGGGCCGGCGGAGCCGTGAGGCCCCATAGCCAGCTCTCGGTCGGGATCCCTGTAAGCAGCAGTGGAAAGCATCGCGCCGGGCTCCTGCTGTCTCACGGCAAAATGGCCGCCGGGGCAGGTCCACTTCCGTCCCCCGCCCCGCCCCCACCCACCCACCGGGCTCCTCTAGCCCGCCCTCGTCGTTGCTCTGGGAGGTCTGAGCCTAAGTCCCGCCATATCCTGAATCCGCCAATTCCAGTAGACCTGTTTTTCCAACCTCAAGAAAACATTTGGATTCACTCATGGCGAATCAAAAGTTAAAAGTCTGACCATCCCCAAAAATGAACCCAATTACAGAGCAGCGACAACTCGAATGGTCACATTGGTGATGTGTTACAGCATTTGGGAAGGATTAGCAGCCCCTGCTGTGTTCAAGGCCTGACGGTCAGGATGCAGTCAGGATGCGTGGTCAGCTGTGTGGTATATGCAGCCACGCGACCCAGGAAGCAATACTAGGTTTCCCTAGCCAGAACATGATGGTTAGTATTAACTTGACAGAATCTGGAATCACCTAGTAAAAACCTGGGGGCATATTTATACAGGTTATTTCAGGATGGTTTAACTGAGATGGGAAAATCCAACCTGAATATAGGTGGTACCATCTCACGGCCTGGCTTTCTGGACTAAATAAAAAAGAAGCAAACTAACATTCATCTGTTTAGGCTTCCAGTCCCTGGATGCAGTGTGACTCCCCCTTCTCCAGGTGTCGTGATTTCCCACGATGGACTGTATGCCCTCAAACTGTAAGCCAGAATGAACTTCACTTAGGTTGCCTCTTGTTAGGCCTTTGTTAAATTTTCTTAATTTCCTAAATCTTATGAGGTTCCCTGTCCTTCCAGGAGAGGATGTTTCATTTAGGAGAAAATAACTACATAATACTATTGTACTTATTAGAGTCCATGCATAGGTCAACACCATATACACAACACACACAGATACTGTCCATCACACACACACACACACACACACACACACACACACACACACACAGAGCTAACCTAAAAGAGCTCATTACTTCGATGATAGTGCAAAATACAAGGGAAAGAAAGTAAGAACAATACATGTATCTGCCTAGATAAACCATAGAAGGAAGAAATCAAGATATGCTGGAATTCAATCAAGCATTAAGAAGCAGCGTAAGAAAAAAATGTAAATGAATTTGTGACTATAACGCCGCCTGTTTTGTCCTTTTTTGGACACGAGTTAACTTTCACTGAGAACATGATAAGGAGTATCTGCTTGCCATTCACATTATGGATTGCACAAAGCTCTAAACTTTCATCCACTTTACGGAACTAAGTGGAGGAGGCTGTGATCTTGCCAAGGGTAACACTGTGAGTTTAAAAACATGTTAGACTAGCAGGGCGTGGTAGCCCATGCCTTTAATCCCAGCACTCCGGAGACAGAGGGGCAAGGGAGCAGAGGAGGGCAAAGGGGCAGAGGGACAGAAGCAAGCCGATCTCTTGAGTTCGAGGCCAGCCTTTTCTACAGAGTGAGTCCCAGGACAGCCAGGGCTACCCAGAGAAACTCTTTCTCAAACAAACAAACAAGCAAGCAAGCAAACAAACAAACAAAAACATGGAAGACTGAGGATGTAGCTCAGGGGTAGAATGCTTGCTTGAGTTTGATCCGATTACCACATTCCCAACCGTTACCGCTACACACTCCACAGCGCTCTAAAAAGGGTTGCCGAGGGGCCCCGCCCCGGAACTTCTGGGAAGCTCCGCCCCTCGTTTCCCAGGCCGGGCTCCAGTCAAGAGCGCAACTGGCGGAAGTGACGACATCAAATGCGCGTCAGGCTCCGGTGGGGTCGAGTCCGGTAGCGGTGGCGGGTACTTGCTGGCGGTTTGGGTAGGCTTCTGCGGTCGCGTCATTTTCTCCGCAGTGCCCAGGTAACGGTCGTTCAGCCTTTTCTCTGCTGTGAGGGCCGTAACAAAGGCGACCTCTGCAGCGGGTCCCCGGAGACGGCCGGAGCAGACACGGCATGGTAGCGCGGCCGGGCGGGGAACGGTCCTCCGCGCGTGCTGAGCGCGGCGGCTCAGCGAGGACCAGTCGCTGGGCCTCCACCGCTTCGGCGGGGTCCTAAAACCCAGTGCCAAGTGTGAGAGTCTCTGAGGGGCTGGCACCGGACAGCACCGCGCACCGCACACCTCAGCTGCTTTCCCCTGTTAGAAAAACAGTTTTTTACCCAGGCCTGTGGCTGCTCGTCTTGTCCCCCTAGTAAGGATAGTTTTGTTCGGAAGCGGCTTTGAGACTGTTAACATCTCGTCAGAAGCACAGTAGAGATTAACATATAAACACGCGCTACTTACTTTATTTACACGTTCTCTGTCTCCAGGCTCAGGTTAGCGTGGTTTTCCAAAACTCTTGGCAGGCTTTTCTGGGAAAAGATGCCGGACTGGGTTAGGACGCTTGAAGACTGCAGAACTGGTTTCTCAGATATTCAATTTGATGGCTCAGTTTCCAAAAGACGAAGACCCTGAACAACAGCCTAAGAATAAGTTAGTGTAGTGATTATTTCGGTTTTATGAGACAGGTGAGGAAAGATGGTTTATATCGTCTGCAGGTGTGAGATGACCTCTGCATAGCATGCTACAAATTTTCGTCTTATATAATCAACCGCTTCGGTAAACTCATTTGACAAAGTGATCGGGATAAATCTCTGGCGATACTTTGGACGTTAAATCCAGCCTTTATTATCTTTGGGCTCAACTAAAGCAGAAACCCCTGAAATTGAATTTTCAGTCTTCAGTTTTCTCAGATTTCTCTGCTCTTGACAAAGGAGGTACTCAAACTGCACTTTAAAATCCTTTAACTTGGGCCGGGCGGTGGTGGCGCACGCCTTTAATCCCAGCACTCGGGAGGCAGAGCCAGGCGGATCTCTGTGAGTTCGAGGCCAGCCTGGGCTACCAAGTGAGTCCCAGGAAAGGCGCAAAGCTACACGGAGAAACCCTGTCTCGAAAAACCAAAAAAAAAAAAAAAAAAAAAAAAAAAAAAAAAAAAAAATCCTTTAACTTAAAAATCCCATTGCCTGTGTAATAACATCTTACACTCCGAATTATATAACCCCACCTGCTGTTGTCATCTCTTGGAGTGATTGTCACTAAGCCTGTTACTTACATACTGCATGCTCTTTTTGTCTCCCTTTCACTTGTATGCAGTGCTGATTTATATGTTTTTGTTCCTCTTGCTAGACCTGTGTTAATTTGCTCCTGCTTTGTGGAAGATCTGGCCTCTCAAAAGGGTACGTAACTTTAGTTTTTTTCTTGATTTTCTAAAGGATTTATGTATGTGAATGTTTTGCCTGTATGTCTGTGTACCACATGCATGCCCGGGGCCCATGGAGGACCAAAAAGCACTGGATTCCCTGGGACTGGATTTACAGCTAATTGTGAGCTGCTATGTGGGTGGTAGGAATCAAACCTAGGTCTTCTGAAGAGCAGTAATGCTCTTAACTATTGAACATGTCTGCAGCCCCTTGACTGTAGCTTGTATTCTTTCTTCCATAGCATTCAGTTAGGATCATGTACTACATGCCAGGCCCATTCCTAGATGCAAAGATTTTGAAGTCATGTATGCTGGTTTCAGCTTTCTTGCATCATGCCTTAGTAAATACCTGCAATTTTAGTGCTGGCTAGTTTTTTGCAGTTATATGTATTTTTTTTTATATTGGACTGTTTGATAAGGACTGTATCCTCTTTATCTTTGTATCTGAGCACCTCTGTTACAGAATAATAAATACATTTTCTGATGATATCAGAAAAAGTGTAATTTTCTTGTAACCTTAATATCTCTCACATAGCTAGTATCTCTAGGAAACAGGCATCTCTTCATTTTTTCAATAGTGAGTTTGTAGGGTTATCTTTTGGGTCCTTTGTCCTCTCAAAGTGATTATGAAATTCTTTCATTGATTCAGCTAACATGAAAATGCCTGTACCAGCTTATACCTTTTTTTTGAAGATTTATTTATTATGTATTCAGTGTTCTGTCTGCATGTATGCCTGTATACCCTAAGAGGGCACCAGATCCCATTGTAGACGGGTGTAAGCCACCATGTGGTTACTGGGAATTGAACTCAGGACCTCTGGAAGAACAGCCAGTGCTCTTAACCTCTGAGCCATCTCTCCAGCCCACCAGCATATACTTAACATGACTGTGGATCTTTGAATATACGACTTGTAACTTTGAAGCCTGTATGTCCTATGTGATATTAGATGATGATAAATGTTTAGAATAAGATCTGATTGTCAGGCTGGGGAAATAGCTCAGTGGTTAAGAGCACTTGCTGCTATTGTAGAGGACCTAGGTTTGGTTCCCAGCACTTACATGGTGGCTCACAACCATCTGAAACTCCAGTTGTAGGGAACCAAATACCCTTTTTCTGACCTCTGCAGGCACCACACATGTCATGCACATATTTACATGCATACAAAACACTCATACACATAAAATGAAAATCTTCTTTAAAAAGATCTAATTGCAATAGCTAATATCTGTCCTGTGCATACTATGTGTATATAGTTAGATTCACCATGCTCTCCCAACAGGATTTTCACTATGTAGCCCTGGCTGTCCTGGAACTTTCTCTGTGCGCTGCCACTACCTAACAGTTAGACTAATCTTGATTTGTTAGCTTATTCTGTCCGTTCATCCATTGTTGATTTCTTCAGTCCTTATGGCCTCTCTGAGCAAGTTATTGGTCTGCATGAACTGAACTGATTTTAAAAAAATGTCTTTAAAGAATCGAGGATGGACATTTGCTTAGCATTTTTGAGGCTCTGGGTTCTATCACTACCATTACAAATTTAAAAAAAAAAAAAAAAGCTCTTTTCATAGTCTCTTAATCCGTAATCATATTGCATATCCATGACCACTAAAGAGATGATGATGTAAGGAACCCAGTTCCGCCGGGCGGTGGTAGTGGTCATGGCAGCAGCAGTGGCGATGCACACCTTTAATCCCAGCACTCAGGAGGCAGGGCCAGGCAGATCTCTGTGAGTTCGAGGTCAGCCTGAGCTACAGAGTTAGTTCCAGGAAAGGCACAAAGCTATACAGAGAAACCCTGTTTTGGGGGCGGGGGGGAGGGGGGGGGGGGACCAGTTCCAAGCATAGTTTTGAAAAGTTAAGAATATTGTATTTCTAAAATTAATGTTTCATTGATTGTTAATCTGTCTTTAATTAAAATTAGAACACCAAAAAGTGATTACCTAAAGCATATTGTGTCAAGTTCATTATTTGTGACATTTTATGCTTGAGACATTGTAAAGGGTATAAAACTGAGCAGAATATTTAAAAACCAGCATTGACCTAATAGTGCTATATAAACAGTGCTTAATAAGTGTTCTCCTCTGGTAGTACAGTTTGCTTAGGAATTAGTTTTCCCTAGGTGTTCCCCCATACAAAAAAAAAGTCCTTTGCTGGGGGTGATGGTGGTGGTGCGGTGTTCCAAAGGGCTGGTCCCTGATTCCAGCTCTTAGAAAAGACAACTCACAGGCTAAAAGCACTGCCTGCTTCTCCAGAGAACCCAGGTTGGAGCCATCTCTCCAGCCCTATAATTTGATCTTAATCTAAACATTTGTTATCATCTAATTTCACAAAAAAAGTATACACATTTCAAAGTTACAAGTTGTATATCCAAAGACCCATATTTATTTTAAGTATATATATGACCCTGTGGTGGCTCACAATCATCTGTTAACTCCAGTTCCAGGGCATCTGACCCTCTCCTCTGGCCTCTGCCAGCACCAGGCCTGCAAGTGGTACGCAGGCAGGTATGCAGGCAAAATACCCACACATATAATATATAAAATAAATCATGTTTATGTCTAGAGTCAACTTGTGAGAATCTGTTCTCTCCTTTCACCATGTGGGTGAACTCAGATTATCAGAATCAGCAGCGTGTGCCTGTGCCTGCTGAGCCATTTCTTGGCAGCTTTTTCCAAAAGTTTTTATTACTGATCTTCACACCTTCATTTTCAGTACTGCTAGACTATTTAGAATATTTAAGAACATAGTAACGTAGTGTTTGTTTTGTTGGCAGTTTTACGTGAGTCACAGGAAACATGGACTAGGGATATGTACATTTTCTCCAAGATAGCTGGTGTGTGTATATTTTATATGAACCTGAAACCTGTTTAAACTTAAAGCATTTTTTTCCAAGCAGAGCATCACTGTTTTATGGTGTGTGAAGATAACCCAGAAAATAAAAGAAGTTTCTAAGGAGAATTTGCAGAGGATGCTCTAGATAAAATCCGAGTACTGAAGAAAGTGAGAATCATGGACCAGAACAACAGCCTCCCACCTTATGCTCAGGGCTTGGCCTCCCCACAGGTAATAGAGCAGGAAGGAGGGGCAAGGAGGGCTGACATACTCCCTTTAAGAGAAAGCGAAAGACGGTAAACTTTAGCCATCCAGTATTGAACATGGATTTGTATATTTTTAAGCTTATTTACTTTGTGGAAATTTCTGCTTTGGGTAAGCATGATGCCCTTCTGCTTGGGGAGTCAGCTTGGGAGTTTATTTGGAACCTAATTTATTTAGAAGACCGTTCCATCTGTGTGAGCTGTGGAACAGTTATTCCATTTAATCCAGAAGGTTCCTTCTTGACCCTGTTGTTGTCACTTTTCTAGCCTAAGATGACAACCAAATCTACTTTCAAAGTTCAAGATTAGTGTTGATGTAAAACGTGCATAGTTGCGATAGAATTAGACTTAGATTGTTACCAATTCAGTATAAATTTTGCCGTCTTTTTTCTTCATACTCCACATAAATAATTATTAAATATAACAATGTAAGGCATAGAAGCATCATAGAAAAGGCAGTTAATAGTATTTACAGGCTTTGTTGATTTTTTTTTTTAGTAGAACAAATAGCTTTTTCAAGTAGTATGATAGAGTAGGCCATGAGCTTGTCATCTTGAACCTCTAGGTGACTGTGATCCATCAAACAAATTGGTCACATGTTAAGTTAGTGGGTCATCCTCGTATACTGCGTGGCACTTTCTTTTTTTTTTTTCAGAGGTGAGGACCGAACCCAGGGCCTTGCGCTTGCTAGGCAAGCGCTCTACCACTGAGCTCCCAGCCCATGCGTAGCACTTTAAATAGGGACATGCACTTATGCTTTGTCCTTATGGTCTAGATATGCTCGGGAGGCTAAGCATCTCTCTTGCATATCATAAATAACAGTCAGATTCCAGATGCTAAGCGCTCATCTACTAGGTTCAGTACTAGGGAGAAAAGTGATGCATCTCAGGATGCCAGATTCTTCCCTAGTATTTAATGACCTGTTATATTCAGAAAGCACCAGACTTTATACTTTACCTGGGTTCTACTAGGAAAAAACCTGTATTACTCAACATTAATGTCTTATCATTCTCTTTGCTTTCCACAGGGTGCCATGACTCCTGGAATTCCCATCTTTAGTCCAATGATGCCTTACGGCACAGGACTCACTCCACAGCCTATTCAGAACACCAATAGTCTGTCCATTTTGGAAGAGCAACAGAGACAGCAGCAGCAACAGCAGCAGCAGCAGCAACAGCAGCAGCAGCAGGCTGTAGCAACTGCAGCAGCCTCAGTACAGCAATCAACATCTCAGCAGTCCACACAGGGTGCCTCAGGCCAGACACCACAGCTCTTCCATTCTCAGACTCTGACCACTGCACCCTTGCCAGGCACCACTCCCTTGTACCCTTCACCAATGACCCCTATGACCCCTATCACTCCTGCCACACCAGCCTCTGAGAGCTCTGGGATTGTACCACAGCTACAGTGAGTACCTCTTAGCCCGTGTGCTCTCGTTCCTTCTCCCCTGACGTGTGTGACGTGTGTGTGTGTGTGCTCACTCCCTGTCCTCTGACCCTTGCACCAGAGGCTCTCAGTGGTATTACATTATTTGCTTTCAGACAGTGGATTTACTTAAAGAAGTGACTCTGGTAATTCTGTTACACTGTGGCTTCATCTGCTCTTGGCAAGGAATTGAAGCTACAGAATTGAGTCAGTGCTCTCAGCAAAACCTTTCCTTAGAAATGGAGTTGCTTGTATTTATGTGTTTGGGCCACTGAAATGAAAACTGAGTTTTATCAATACTGTGGACATTTCTCTGTAGCTAATTGACTGAGTCACAGGCCAGTTGTATCACAGCCTTGGCCATAGTGTCAGCAGAGGTCTTAGGTCCAGGTTTTTCTACAGTTCTGCTGTGAAGGCTGTATTTATATCTTTGGAGATTTGTGTCTCTCTTTAAAAGTGAGGATAGCAGTTCTTGTCTTGATGAATTGTTCTGCCTAAGTGAATTAGTTCCCATATGTAAAAAGGTAGGAGATACAGGCTTTTTTCTTTCTTCCTGAAACAGCTCAAATCCAGATTCTACTTAGTAACAAGTATGTAGCTTTACCTTAGGGAAGCGTATGGCCTGATTAAAGGGTTCTAGAGAGGTAAGCCCTGTTAGCTCTCCTTTGTCTACACTGCTCCAAACTAATGTTTTATGCCTATTTGACTTCCACGGACATTCTGTTTGTAATTCTGATTATATCTATTAGAACCAGCTTAGGACATACACTTATTTCTATATCCACAGAGCATGCACTTGGGAGCCAGACGCCAGAAGATCTCTGGGTTCAAAGTCAGCCTGGTTTACAGAGTGGGTTCCAGGACAGCCAGGGCTACACAGAGAAATCCTGTTTCGAGATTTAAAAAAAAAAAAAAAAAAAAAAGTATTGCATAGAATGCTTCAAGAATGGGACATAGTGCCATGAAACAGTCTTTTAGACCCAGGTGAATGATGATAGATTTTGTGCGTGTGTACAGGCACTTCCCTATGTATGCTGGAGGAGAATCTCAAGAGTCATTTCTCAGGACACTCACTACCCACCCTGGTTTTTTTTGTTGTTTTTTTTTGGGGGGGGGGGGTTTGGTTTTTTTTTTTTTTTTTTTTTGGTTTTTTGAGACAGGGTTTCTCTGTGTAACTTTGCGCCTTTTCCTGGAACTCACTTGGTAGCCCAGGCTGGCCTCGAACTCACAGAGATCCGCCTGGCTCTCCCTCCTGAGTGCTGGGATTAAAGGCGTGCGCCACCACCGCCCGGCTCCCACCCTGGTTTTTAAGATGGAATATTTTAACTGGCCTGAAATTTGCTGTTTTGGCTGAGCTGACTAGCCAATGAGCCTCAGGGATCTACCTGCCTCCATCTCCTTCGCACTAGAATTACAAGTGTACATTATCACTGTGGGCTTTTTCACATGGGTTCCAGGGATTGAACTCAAGTCTTCATGATTGCATGGCAAGCTCTTTACAAGCTAAATTATCTCCTCAGCCTGCTAAAGATGATTCTATTTAACATGATTCGCTGTGGTAAATAGCAGAAAAGAAGACATATTTTCTTCCCTTGCCAAAGACATTGAATTCCATTTTTCCAAAAGATAGCTTATTTGGGAAGATTGAGAAAGTCCACGTCTGCCTGTTTTTCCTGTAGTGACTTAATAGTGAGCTAGTGTTAGTAGTATTTCAGAGCTCAGGAAGGAGGGGTGATAGTTAAATGAAGCCTCAAGGTGTCCTGGCTCTTCCACTTGGGAGTCATGTGCATCCCAAGCCAAACACAGTCCATTCCCTAGAGTTTCAGATGCTTTGAACATGGGAGTGATAGTTAACACTGCAGGGTACATTTTGGGTACTGAGTAAAAATATCTGGTATGTGGCACTTTTTAAACATTTAAAATCAGTTTTTTTGTTTTGTCATGTCATTTTTTTTTTTAATTAAAGCCTAGTGAAAAATAATGGATCAGCAATCTGAATCATGTTTTCTTTTCAGATTTCTTGCAGAAATATTGTATTCATAGCAAATCTTAGTTGTAAACTTGACCTAAAGACCATTGCCCTCTTTGTATAAAAGTTAAATATTTTAAGTAATTATGTTTTCAAATTTCTTGCAGAAACATTGTATCCACGGTGAATCTTGGATGTAAACTTGACCTAAAGACCATTGCACTTCGTGCCCGAAATGCTGAATATAATCCCAAGGTTAGACCCATTTTCATGTATTTCAAACTGTATAAGATACAGAGAAAGTTCTTCCTAAATCTATTGTTGAGAAGTTTGTATTGCGCTTGTTTCTTGATACCAGCAAAATGAGTGGTATCATGCTTATCTTGAATGTTAAGTGCCTAGGAAAAGTTCATTTTGGGACGTTTTCATTTTGTTTTGTTTTCCTGTTTTTGCAGTATTGAAGTTTCAACCTAGGACCTCAGCCACACTAGGGTAGTGCTGTCTAAGCTACATCCTCAGTTCTTTTGCTTTGTTGTTTTGTTTTGTTTTTCGAGACAGGGTTTCTCTGTGTATAGCCCTGGCTGTCCTGGAACTTGTTCTGTAGACCAGGCTGGTGTTGAACTCACAGAGATCTGCCTGCCTCTGTCTCCCAAGTGCTGGGATTAAAGGCGTGCACCGCCACTGCCCAGCTGCATCCTCAGTTCTTTAACTTGTGTTTTACTGAATACCTGCTATGTATATTACCCTCTAAATGTAGAAATTCATACATAGATGTGGTGGTATTGTGTTCCCCAAAATATTGTGCAACCTAATAAACTTCTCTGGGGTCAGAGAACAGAAAAGCCATTAGATCCTTAGGCTAGAAAATGGTGGTACTCACACCTTTAATCCTAGCATTCCAGAGGCAGAAATCCCTCTGGATCTCTGTGAGTTCAAGGCTACATTGGAAATAGCCAGGCATGTGACACACACCTTTAATCCCAGAAAGTGAGCCTTTAATCCCAGGGAGTGATGGTAGAAAGGAAAGAAAGATATATAAGGCGTGAGAACCAGGAACTAGAAACATTTGGCTGGTTAAGCTTTCAGGCTTCTAGCAGCAGTTCAGCTGAGATTCATTCAGGATGAGGACTCAGAGGCTTCCAGTCCGAGGAAACAGGATCAGCTGAGGAACGGGCAAGGTGAGGTGGCTGTGGCCTGTTCTGTCTCTCTGATCTTCCAGCATTCACCCCAATAACTGACGTCATGTTTTATTTAATTAGTAAGACCTTTTAAGATTCATGCTACACATACACTCACATTGTGAAGGGGACCACATGGAGTTGGAAAACAGAATATTCCATTTATATCCTGAAGAATAGCTGGTGACATATTTGTGGTACCTACTTCAGTAATCCTGTGGGAGAATTAGGGATGGATTACATGGGTGGAGAAAGATTGATCAATAGTTAATAATTGTTGGCTGTAAGTACAAGAAGTTTGTTACATTTTTCCCACCTTTGTGTAACTTTGAAGTTTTTTTCTGATAGACAAGATCAGGTGTGTTCTGAGTGGTATGGCCACAGATGGCTTTTCTGACAGAAATTGCAGGAGATTAGAGTGTAGCTTGGTGGTAGAGCACTGGCCTAGCAAGACCAAAGACTTTTGTATTACCAGATGTCTTAGTTACTGTTTTATTGCTATGGAAAGACACTATGACCAAAGCAACTCTTAGAAATGAAAGCATTTAATTGGGAACTTGCTTACGGTTTTAGAGGGTTAGTCTGTGATCATCATGGCCAGAAACAGACAGGTGTGGTACTGGAGCAGTAGCTGAGAGCTTTACATTCTGATCAGAAGGCAGCAGGCAGAGAGAGGAGAGAGAGAGAGGAGAGAGAGAGAGAGGGAGAAAGGAAGGAAACACTTGCCTGGAGTGGGCTTTTGTGACCTCAGAGCCCACCCCATCAACATACTTCCTCCAACAAGACCACACCTCTTAATCCTCCTAAATCTTTCTCAAATACTGTTCTTTGGTGACTAAGCATTCAAATATATGAGCCCATGGGGTCCATTTTCATTCAAGCCACAATACTGGAACTGGAGAAAAGAGAAAAAAAATAAATAAAGATTTGGGAGGAGGGAGAAAGCACTAGTTTCTAAGATAATAAATAGCCTAGTGTGTGTTAAAAGACTTTTTTTTTTTTTGGTTTTTCGAGACAGGGTTTCTCTGTGTAGCTTTGTGCCTTTGCTGGATCTCGCTCTGTAGACCAGGCTGGACTTGAACTCACAGAGATCTGCCTGCCTCTGCCTCCCAAGTGCTGGGATTAAAGGCGTGCGTCACCACCGCCCGGCAAGACTTTCTTACATACACCAGTAGAAAATATTTTTTACATATGGAACATCTGTACTGACAGATGAATAGACTTGTGAGGTCCAGATGGAGAGCTGCCTGGGTGCCTGGGTGTTGCTTGAGAAGGCTAGGATGAGAAGATTTGCAGAAAGTTTCCTAAAGTGGGAAGCGTTTGTCACAGGGTCATCATGTACATGTAAACCTTTACCATGGAAACCAGTACCTCATATATTTCTTCTAATAAAGGAAAATAAGATGATTTTGTGACTGTGTATATATGTGAGTGGTGTATATGTGCAAGTGCATTTGCTTGTGAGCGTATGCAGAGGCCAGAAGAGTGCTGGATGTCCTCCTTAGTCACTCTCCACCATACTCCTTTATATCTTTATTGGTGTCTTTCCCTGAGCCTGAAGCTCACATTTGGGGGGGGGGGGGGGGCAATCCAAGCTACAGAACCAGAATTACAGGTGTGCATGGGATATGACCTGGTTGTTACATGGGTGCTGCGGTCTGAACTCAGGTCCTCATGCTTGCACAAATGCTCTTACCTGCTGAGTCATCTCTCCAGCCCTGGAAATTAAGTTGTATAAATGAAAAAGAAAAAGGCGGCAGCAGAAAGAACTTGGGACAGTTTTTAAAACATAGTCTGATAACCAGCAAGAGGCTAATCAGGCTTTTGTCCTTTTACAGTTTAATAGGTCATTAAGGAACATACAATTCTAGTAAAGTCTCCAGAAACCTTGACATTTACCTTGCCTTAACCCTGTCTTAGTTTTGCCCTATTTCTTTTGCCAGAGAATCTCAGTTCTCCCCCTTTTTTATATACTTTCAGTGGAGGTTGTCCATGAGAGTTTCTGTTTTCCTCCTGTGGGAGTGCCCTACATGTCCTCCTGTGAGCATCCTCACACTTTTCCTGTGACAGCTCCTTACATGGCCTCCTGTGAGAGAGCCTCATACTTCTGGTACTGATACTGGTAGTCAGAATCTGCCGTCTTGTGTTCCCAGGTTCTTGGCTTTTTATTCAAGGAATTGAAATAAAGGTCCACACAGATTGCAAACTAACAGTTCATTTATAGGCTTTAGTACAGATCAGAAAGATGCTGTCAGGAGTAAGGGTGGGCCACATAAATGAGAAAGGACTCAAGGGTCCCAGATGACTGCCTGGGGCGCTATTTTATATGTTTTAAAGGAAAGAGGAGTTGGTTATTAGGGGTGTGTTTTTCTATTTGCAAATACATTCAAGCTATGTAACTTATCTACTATGAATGTCTCTTCCCATGATGCAACTGATTTTAATGATATGCATGCCCAATTTTGTATGGGCATAAAATGGTAATAGAGGATTCTCCCTAAAAGTTTACTCAGAGGATATAACTTGCCTTTTTGCACCAAAAATTTTCAAGCTGAATCAGGGAGCCCCCCCACCGCCCTCCCCGTCTCGTACTCAGACATAACTGGAGTATGATTGAATAGATTCTGTTTGATCAAGAGAAGTAGAAACTTCTTCCATTGTTTGAAGTTTGCTGTTTGTGTATTTCTGTACATGGGGGTCCTGAGTTTCTTGGTTTGGAGAGGGTGGTATATGTATTGTTCATGCAGGTAAGAGTCTCAGCTGCCAGGCGCATTACTAGCAGTAGGGTGTATGCATAGCCCAAACCACGGGAGGTTCAGATTTCAAAACTGCTCACTATGCTTGCCTGCCTTGTGTTTCTGTCTGTAAAAGGGTTGCATACTTTATACTGTGATTTCACTTTTATGGCCTCAAGCTCAGATCCTTCTGTCTCCACCTCCTGAATGCTTAAATTAAAAGTATGTCACTGTGCCCAGCTTTGTACTATGATTTCATTAATTGTGTGTCATCTTGAAACTGGAAATGTGACAGCATCTAGAGATTGAGTTAAAGAACCATCCTAAATATAGGAAACATGTGGGATCTACTTCATAGCCGGTTTTTTAGTTGAGTATGAAGCTAACCAGAATATCAACTATAAAGAATCAAATTGGCCACTGGTCACTTCTAACCAAGTTTTTGTTGTTATTTCTAATATTTACAACTGTAATATCTACTTGATGGATCATTCACCTTATTAAGATAGTAGCCTCATCTCTTCTAATTTTAGCTTGATGCCTACTTTGTCAGTTATTAGTATAGTTACTTCTGCCTGTTTTTTGTTTCCATTTGCTTATGTATCATTTTCCTTGCTTTCACTTTCAGTTTGCAAGTGTCTTTGCCATTGAGGTGTGTTTCTTGCAGGCAGCAAATGGTGGGATTAGAAAAAGAACTAGTCCTTTGTCTTTTAATTGGATAAGTAAGACCATTTACATTTAGAGTTACTATTGAAAAATATTATCTGATTCCTGTAATTTTCTTGGTTGTTTTTCTGGTTGGCTTTCTCACCTGTCATCACTAGGAGTTAGTTGGTTTACTAAGTCTGACATGGTTGATTCTTTATTGGTTCTCATTTATTCATCTATTCCTCATAAAATTCTTACTCTTTCCTGAGCTCTCATGTCTGACTGTCTTCTCATTTGTGTATAGCATTCCTTAAGTATTTTCTGCAGTACTGACTTTGGTACTAATGGATTGTTTAATTGGGCAAACTTGGAAAGTTCAAGAGAGTAGAAAGGAGAAAAATGTTAGAAAACAGTAGAGAAAAGTCAAGAGATTTTTAAAAACTGCCCATTAAAGAAGAAATACGCAAAAAAAAGAGTAGATAAATGTAAGAAAGGGAATAAAAAAATAAAAACATTCTAAAAGTTTTTAAATGCATTGATGGGAATATCTGGTATAGCCAAGAGAGTTTGACTCAGGACCTACAACACTCTAGCCTTCTCCAGTAACAGAAACTCTATAATAGTCAACCTAAGTGTAATTTTAATGCTTCTTCCTGACCATTTTAGCGGTTTGCTGCTGTCATCATGAGAATAAGAGAGCCACGGACAACTGCATTGATTTTCAGTTCTGGAAAAATGGTGTGCACAGGAGCCAAGAGGTATCTTAAGGGATTCTTTGTTTCTGATGGATGTATTATGAAAGAAAAAAGGATATGGTTTATATTATCAGGCTAGCACTTTGTTTGTTTGTTTTAAGGCATGGTTTCTCTGTGTAACCGCCCTGGATTTCCTGGAACTCACTCTATAGACCAACCTGGCTTTGAACTAAAAAAAAGTCCATCTGCCTCTGCCTCTGGAGTGATGGAATTAAAGGGATGAGCCACTACCACCCAGCTGGACTAGCACTTTTTAGTTTTTTGAGACAGGGTTTCTCTGTGTAGTTTTGGTGCCTGTTCTGGATCACACTCTGTAGCCCAGGCTGGCCTCAAACTCAGAGATCCACCTGGCTCTGCCTCCAAAGAGCTGGGATTAAAGGTGGGCGCCACCGCCGCCCAGCTGGACTAGCACTTTTTTATTTTTTATTTTTTTTTTTGCCAAATGTCGTTTATTGAAGGAGGGAGAAGCTCTTAAATACAGGCTTACAGCACAATGGGAGAACCCCAGAGGGCAGAAGTTCACTACTGATGTTTTACAATCTTGCATCTATGCTGTTAACTCCCATCATGCAGGATACACAGACAAGGAACTTCCCTTAAGCATTCAGGAGGGTGGAACCCGGCAGGGAATTAGCATAGGGAGGATATCAAGGTCAAGGTCAGCAAGCAAGGCAACAGTTACCCAAAACGGGGGCCAGGGCCCCACAGGTCCCTACAGTCCCCCTTTTACTAGAAAATGAGCTTCTGACTTAGGTTGGTCTAACACTTTTAACGTGCTATTTTTAGTGGGTTATCTTAATCACCTTGAATAGCATCATTTTTGTTAACCCTGCTGTCCTGTACAACTTTGGTTGTAGCATTGTATTTGTATCCTGCTTTTCAGATGAAAGCTTCCTAAGTTGGAAAGTCACAGTTTTGTCCAATAATGGTATCCTAAGAATAGATATTTGATGTAAAGGAAGATAGAATTTGTGTATTTGTCAATAGTAAATTTTACTAGTGTTTTTTTAATTTAGTTTTTGGTTTGTTTTTGTGTTTTTGTTTTTGTTTTTGTTTTTTTTCCAAGATAGGGTTTCTCTGTGTAGCCCTGGCTGTCCTGGAACACACTCTGTAGACCAGGCTGGCCTTGAACTCAGAGATCCACCTGACTCTGCCTCCTGTGTGCTGAGATTAAAGGCATGCACCACCACCATCTGGCCTTATTATTTTTTTTTTTTATGGTTTTAGAAAGTTTTCATCTCAGTAGAAATTTGTGGGTCAGAATGTAGCAGTAATAGCAGTGATCGTGATAATTGAATCATATGCTACATCACATCTTTTAAACCTAGGGCTTGTCAATAATGTGGCAAGTCCAAGGCTGATGTTTTGGTAGATTATGGTTTTTGTTAAGGACTCAGGGATAGTTTAATTACTTTTCTAATTTAGACTTCATTTAAGTTATTCTTCTAAATTATTCCATTGGGCTCCCATACATAACTCACTGTTTTTCCTTTCTGTAGTGAAGAACAATCCAGACTAGCAGCAAGAAAATACGCTAGAGTTGTGCAGAAGTTGGGCTTTCCAGCTAAGTTCTTAGACTTCAAGATCCAAAACATGGTGGGGAGCTGTGATGTGAAGTTCCCCATAAGGCTGGAAGGCCTTGTGCTGACCCACCAGCAGTTCAGTAGGTAGGTCTGAGAGGTACTGGGATCAGTTTTAGCAACAATCCATTTATAATCTACTCAGGCATCATCTAGGGTGAAGTACATTTAAGACATTCAGTTTCTAGGCATATGATGTAGTTGCAAGTTGAGTGTGCTGCTTGTAAACATAAGGTGTCTGCAGTTGTACTGCAGTTCTCCAGTCCTTACAACTCCCATTTCCTTAGTCACTTAGTGACTCCTGAACTCCCCTTCAATGAAATGACTTATATTCATTCACTTGTGTATGCCTTATCATTTTGTTAGTCAATAAATGCATTTAAACACATGAATTTGTAGTTTCTTCTACCACTTTTCTCCTGGTTTGAATCTTTTTTTTGTCAACATACCAGCAAAGTATAAATATAAGCAGCAGGGATATGCTGCTCATTATTATTCTTTGCCATTTTCTGGTGAACATTTGCGTAGCTTCCCTACTCGAAGCCTTATCTCAGTATCTTTTTTTCTATTTGCAGCCTCACCAGCTTACCACTTCCCTCACATTCACGGTGATATTCTTGCTTCAGGGCCTTTGCACATGGCACTTTGATACCTGGAACATTAGGTTCAGTTTTTAACCTAGCAACTCCTGTTTGAGTTTCAGATATTCACTCAATGTTGCTCTTCCTCATATAGATCTTTCCTGGGTTTATCTACCAGTCACATATAAGATAGACAGGTCTTTTTATCAGATTGAACTAATAAACCCAAAATCACTAGGTTAGAATTTCACTAACTAATGTCAATTCAGGTAGACAGTGTGATCAAGGAGTAGGTTTATTTCCATATTTGGTTTATCATTCTGGTTAAGTCACCCTGCTAGAAAAACTGACAGCTCCAGAATATTTCTACTTGAGGAGATGAGATATGATTACAAGGCTGACTGTCAGTACCAGCTCTTAGAGTGAATGGTGAGATTAAGCTGCTATTCCGAGACTTGCCCAAAATGAATCTAATGAGGATCAGAAAACGTGAATTACAGCTCTTGTTTTTAATCACAGAAAATGTAGATTCTGTGAAGACAGCATTAAGTGATAGGAGGACATGTAGTTTGTTGCCATGTCCATGACACGTGGCTCTTGTTTGGTGAAAGTGTTTTCTTCTTGTGTGTCCTATTTGTTCACATCTGCTTATCCACTCACTACTTCCTAGCACAAGGCCTCATTGCTTTTACACAAAAACTGATGATTTCTAAACTCTTTCCCATTTTCTTTCTAGCTATGAGCCAGAATTATTTCCTGGATTAATCTACAGAATGATCAAACCCAGAATTGTTCTCCTTATTTTTGTTTCTGGAAAAGTTGTATTAACAGGTAAGTTAAAAGGGGAAGTAGTGTACCAAAATTGGAAATAATTTTAGAATGGCATTTCTGGGTTGGGACAGTTTTCTACCCTTGTGAGGATGTTTTTGTTTCCATTTTGCTTCCCATCCTAACCTTCATGAGAAAGGGGGAAGGATGAAAACAGCAGAGTCCTGCTACAGTTACGGCCTTTAGCTAGATTATGCTTGACTGTGGAAGCAAGCGAGGAGGGAACACTAATAAGTGACTGTTTTCAGTTGGCATTAGCCCCCTGGAACTTGGGGTTACTAGATTACCATTCTGAGATAAGACAGAGAAAGTCCCATTGAATGCCAGTAGTTGGGAGAGTAAGAATTCAGTCCTCAGTGCTTACCAGTTACCATGTTACTCAGGACCAAGTGTGGGAAAGAACTGTGCACTAGGGGCTGGTATTGCCTTGCTGACTTCTGGATCCTGGCCTAGGACCAACTGTGGTAAATAAATGGTGGTCTAGAGTGTTAAAAGTCACCCGGTGTACCATTTTTTAAAATGGTAAGAAAATAATGTTTTAAAAAACAAAGCTAGAGAGCAGGGCATGGCCCTTAATCCTAGCACTCAGGAGGCAGAGGCAGAGGCAGGCCAACCTGGGTACACAGCAAGTTCCAGGACAGCCAGGGCTACACAGAGAAACCCTGTCTCCAAGAAAAATAAAATAAAACAAAACAAAACAAAACACGCTAGGATTATGACAAGGAACCTCTACCATTTGTTTCAATAACATTGTTTGTCTTAACTGGGTATGGAGAGAATTGTATTTGTGGCTTTGTTTTAAGGTAGTGATGTTACTTTCTATTTTAAGAAATGTTACTTAACCATCTCATTTCTATTCCTATGTGTCTTCATAGGTGCTAAAGTTAGAGCAGAAATTTATGAAGCATTTGAAAACATCTACCCCATCTTAAAGGGATTCAGGAAGACCACATAGTGGCTGCCATGTACCCCGCCTCCTCTACCCACTTGTTTTTTAAAACCAGTCAGTTTTGGTACCACTGATGGTACAGTTGTGAGAAGAAGGACACTCTTCACAGGTGGCAGTGAAGTGACATGTGTGTCCTGCTGCAGGATACTGGAAAGGTTCCCTCCTCTGCACTGAGATCACCTGCAGCATCACTGTGAGTCGCTTGCTCTGTGCTGCTATCTGGGCAGCACTGCCCACTTATTTATATTAGATTTTAAACACTGCTGTTGATGAGTTTGTTGGTTTAAGGGACAGAACTTTAAGTGTTAAAGCCACCTGTACAATTGGACTTTTTATTTTAACTTTTCCCACATAAGCCAGTTTTTATATTTCTACCAGAAAAAGTAAAAATCTTTTTTTAAAAGTGTTGTTTTTCTAGTTTGTAACTCTAAGGAGTTATTTTTGTGCCAGATACATTCCGCCTTCCCAGTATTGCAGAACTGAATAGTTGTATTAATCAAAACAAATGTACATACTTTTCTTTCTTCAGAGTACTCTGCACAAAAAAAAAAAAACACGCAGCTTGTAAATTGTTAGATTTTTGTTATAAATGATACCTTGTAAGACATGTGATCATACTGTCAAAGAAATTTATTTTAGCTATAATGCCTGAGACCATTGTTTTGTTTGCTTGTCATTTTTTTTCCTTTTTTGCCTGTTGCAGTGAAAATGGACTTGCCATTGGTTTTATGGTCCCCATTGAACACCTTGTTTCCTAGATACTCCACAGTGTCTGGGATCTTCACCAAACTAGTTATGTTTTGTTCCCTTTTCAGCCTTTGCCAGAGTCTTATCCAAGGTTTCATAGCTAGTAAGTGACATTGGAGGGCTCTGAGTAATTCAGGTATAAAAGTGTGGTGCCCTGTCCACAGATAGCAAGCTTCTCTGATACAACATTTTTGTTATGGCTGTTTTTCTCATGAAATATCAGGTGGACATTTATAAGGCCTTGGATTATTTTAGGAGCATTTTATGTCCTTTTTTTAATTATAAAAGTACATTTTTCACAGTTCAGAGTATGTATAATCAGAAAGAAGTCTTTTTATTTCCATCCTTACCTATTTCCCTAGGTAACTTCCAGATTAGTGAGTGTCTTCTAACCCTTCACCTAGATTATGCCTGAGCTCTCGGTGGCGGTGGGACACACACACACACACAAGTGACTGTTTTCAGTTGGCATTAGCCCCCTGGAACTTGGGGTTACTAGAGTACCATTCTGAGATAAGACAGAGAAGAGTCCCATTGAATGCCAGTAGTTGGGAGAGTAAGGATTCAGTCCTCAGTGCTTACCAGTTACCATGTCACTCAGGACCAAGTGTGGGAAAGAACTGTGCACTGGGGGCTGGTATTGCCTTGCCGACTCCTGGATCCTGGCCCAGAACTCAATGTGGTGAGGAAACGGTGGACGAGGGTGTTACAGTCACCCGGTGTGTTGCTTTCTAAGTTCTTAATGTGCAATTCTGTCCTTTGAGGCTACTTTTCATCTCATTTTTGGAAAAATAATGAAGCATATGTTCTTTTGTGACTTTCATTTTTGCAGTCAGTGTATCAGTTATCCTTCCAAGATATACAATGTAATATCCTCTTCGACACCTTGATTTGAACTATTCCCTTAGGGATGGTCCTTTGTTACCTGCAGTGCACACACTGTATAGTGCTGGACCAGTTATTCTTGTATGTGTATTTTGAATACATTATAGATTTCTATAGTATACTTTTACAAGAGGAATTGATGTATTATAAACCATTTATGTGTTCTAAGTTTTGACAAATCAATACTAGATTCCAATCCCCCCAAAAAAGTGTACAAAGTACCCTTTCTTGCACTTCCCAGACATTACTGATGTTAGTAATATGAGAACTACTTGGAAAAGCATCATTCTAGTATTTCTCTTCAAGATTATATGTTTTCCTTTTCAAGTTTTATAATTCTTTTTACATGGGGCATTTTCATTTCATAAAAATTAATTCATTATGTTTTTTCATAACACTTTAAGAAAAAATGTTGGTATATATTTAGCTTTTTCCAATCTATTTATTGAACTCTTATTACTGCTGTTAATAGTTGATTGTATTTGAACCCTACGTTCTAGGCATGTAGTAGTTTTGGTAAGTAGTAATCTTGTTTTTTCTTTCTGGTATTTAACATTTCAATGGCTGGGACTTTAATGCATGTAACTAAAGTTTTCCTGTGTCCTGCCACTCAGACCCAAGTGAACACACAGAGGCTTATATTAATTAAAACTGTTTGGCCATTAGCTCAAGTTTTCTACTGACTAGCTCTTACACTAAACTCAGCCCATTTCTGTTAATCTGTATGTTGCCACGTATTCCATGGCTTTACCTGTGTGCCATTACATGCTGCTCCCTGGACAGCAGGCTGGCATCCTCCTGACTCAGCCTTCCTCTTCCCAGAATTCTCTTTGTCTGCTTATCCCGCCTATACTATACTTCCTGCCTGGCTACTGGCCAATCAGCATTGTATTTATCAGTCAATCAGAGCAATACATTCACAGCATAGAGAATGGCATTCCCCAGCAAACGTACCTTACTTTTTTTCTTCTTTCTTTCCTGTTTTTATTTGAGACAGGTTGACAGGATTAGGGTTCTATAGCCCAGGTGGCCATGAACTCAATGATTCCACCTTACTCTCTTAAGTAGCTGGGATTATAAGCCTCATGAACCACTAGGTCTCACCAAGGTTTTTATTTAACCAGTTCTGTATTACGTATATCTGTTTATCCTCATTGTTAGTTTTGACATACTGGTGACAGAACACAGGCTCTTGTGCTTGCAGGGGATGATCTCTGTGACTGACCTACCCCCAGAGTAGAACCCTTCATTCTTAAGGACATAGGGAATGACAAATTAGTATGTACCGGTATGTTAAGTGTACTGTACCGAGATTACACATGCAGCAGTCTTTTTGAGAAAGTGGTTGTGTTAGTTAGTGTTACTGTTGCTGTAAAATACCATGACCAAAAGCAACTTAGGGAAAAAAGGGCTTATTTCAGTTTATAGTTATAATCCATCATGAAGGGAAGACAGGGCTGGAACTCAAGCAGAGGCCATGAAAGAATGCTGCTTACTGGCTTGCTCAGTCTCTCTTATACAATCTAGGACCACCTGCCCAGGTGTTTAACCATCCAGTGAGCTAGGCTCTCCCACATCCATCAAGAGTGTGCCCACAGACCTGCGTACAGGTCAGTCTTATGGAGCTGTTTTCTCAAGATTCCTTCTTCTCAGATATGTCTAGGTTTGTCAAACTGACAAAAACCAAACAAGGTAATGGTCTTAGTGAGAAGGGATCTTGCTATATCTAGCCCAGGCCAATCTGATCAGGCACTCAGTTTATGGCCTGAGTTGGCCTTGAATCCATGGGCCTCCAAGGTTGACCCAAATGTACTCATGAGTGCCTGGCTGGTACATTAATGTCCATACCACCTGAGGATATCCCTAAATAATAGCCCTTACCATTTATAAATAACTTAACACATTTACTTTTAAAAGCCCTTAGCATTCAGACCTTTCTCTTAATACATTTTGAGTAGGACAGGGCTACAGGTAATTTGGGATGTGACGCCACACTCCTGTCTGGGTCTTTTCCTGAGTCACTGTGTTTCTACGTTTACCACTAATTGCCAATTCCTTCTACAGCTGTAATACTAGTTCTGTGTGGTTCTTAGTATTTTAGCTACCTCAAGTTAAAAATGAACAAGCTTAAAAGTAGCTTGGTAAATAACAGGTGTCCCCCTTAGGAATCTCTAAATGGTTCTACGTGTAACTTAATGTACACATAGGTGGTATGAACTCGTAGGCCAGGACTTTGTATAATATGCTATAGCCAGATAGTCAGTGGTAGTAGAATGTGATATAACCTTGGCAGATTAAGATTCAAGGTGAATAGGGCTGCTAAGGTAACATATAACACAACAGCTCTGCTGAGGTTTGTTTTAGTGTGGGTCTCTGATGTTGGGAATTCACTGTGAGTGGGTGAAGACTGGAAGCACTGTTAACGTCTTAAGATGTGGCCATTTGCTTGGCCATGGACCATATGGAACACCCCATACCTGAAAGATGGCCCAGAACCTCCCTTTAGTCAGGGTGCTGCTTCCAGGACCTGTTCCTTGTCTTCACTCACCTCCGTCAACCCAGGAGGGCAGCCTGTACAAAGTATTTGCACAGGGAAGACGAAGCCCTTGTTTCTCAGTCTTCTATAAGCAGGTCCCCTGGCTTTTCAAGGTCAGTTCTGAAGTAAGGCCTTCTCAAATCGAGGCTCCTGTCAAGCCTGGGACTACTGCTCCTTTATTGGCTCCTCCTTCATCCTACCCAGTCTAACAAAGTACAGTTTTTCCATGTTCTGGCACCAGACAGTATTGACTACTTCAGTTTTACCTACAAACCTCTTTAACTGTAAATTTGGAGGTGGAGAAATGCTGTGAATGTGATGGTTTAAAGAAATACACATGTTTCTTCCAAACACTTTTTTTTTAAATTGATAAAGTTCCAGACTCTTATTCTCTTTATTTCTATTTTATGTGCATTGGTGTTGGGTTCCCTAGACCTCAAATTACAGACAGCTGCGAACTGCCATGTGGGTGCTGGGAACTGAACTCAGGTCCTCTGGAAGAGCAGTCAGTGCTCTTAAGCACTGAGCCATCTTTCCAACCACGCCCCCATCCAGATACTCTAAAGATTTTATTTTTTGTTTATGTGTATGTTTTGTGTATCTGCATGAGTTATGCCATATATGTACTGGGTCTCCACAGGTGAAAGGTCATCAGATCCTCTGGACCTGGTGTTACAGGTAGTTGTGAGCTTCCTGATGTGGGTGCTAGGAACTGAACTTGGGTCCTTTGGAAGAGTAGCAAGCACTCTTAATAGCTGAGCCTGAAGCTGGAGAGATGACTCAAAGATTAACTGAGCCCTAGCTGTTTTTGCAGAGGACCTAGGTTTGATTCCCAGCACCCACATAGCATCTCCCAAGGATCTGTAACTCCAGTTTCAGGGGATTGGGGATTCAGTGTCTTCTTCTGGCCTCTGAAGTATGTGGCAAAACATGAATACATTACAAATAACAATAGTAATTACAAACAGCTGAGCCACCTCTCCAGCATATTTATTTCTGTGCACACATAATATTTCCAAAGTTGACATACCATGAACATCAATAATAATATCCTGGTGTTTATTTTTACCCTATACCCCTCTTACTTGGTATCAATGTATGTTTGTAACATTAACATTATCACCCTTCATTATGGATATACCAAAAATGTAATTCCCTGTTATTAGAATACATTTAGTAATATAGAGACATTGTAAATAGTATATCAACCAACATTTTCATACTTCTGTCTTTGGTAACTGCTTCCTTGGGATAAAGTCCTGGAGGTGGAATTGTGAGGTACAGAGGCATAAGGAACATTTTTAAGAATGTAACCCTTTTCAAGGTGTATCTGTTATATCCTGTTTCCACACAAATTCCTCTGTGTAGCCAATGCCCAGACTACAGCTCTCAGCACAGGTGAAGACTGCCAGGACGCCCCAGTCCACACTGCTGCCCAGTCTGTCTGCCTTTAGGTGGTTCAACAGCTGGGGCATGA